TTAACGTAAACACTTGTAATGTTACGTAAGACTGAATTTTCTAGAAAACGTTCCCACGCTTATAAATAGAACCAACGCCACGCGCCAGAGAGAGTGTCAGTGTGCTATAACTTCGAAAGCTATAACTTTAATTGTTTATCAACCGGAAAACTTAAGATATTTGACCCGGAATATTTATAAATTTTGAACATTACAAATCCTCTAATTTCAGTGGATTCTCATTATATAACTTCAACGGTGGAAAAACCTAGTGTGTTCGAGCTAGCTTCCCGGCAAATCGTATCTACATCAACTCGTAGTTAACTCGCTCATCGTAAACCCTCGATAAGATATCAAGGAAGTTCCTAACTAGAAAGAAAACTTTATAGTGTTTGTAAGTTTGTGAAACTTTTCTTTATAAATCGTTGTTTGCAATAACTATTTGTAATAATTGTAAATCGTATGGTTATGTGTATATTAAAACGTATTTGTATTAAAAAGAAATCTGTGTATCAATCTTGTTGGCAAATATCGTAAATTAACTAAAATATCGGCATACATTTAAATACTAAATCCAAAGTACAATTTAACTCCTAAATATAAATTATCAGTTAACTCGGCTTCGGACTATTTGAAATTCTAATACGTAACGTAATAATGTATTACAAATAAAAGCATGCCTCTTCATGATAATTAACAATTAACTAGAATGTGAGTCACTTTTTAAATTTTTTTCTTAATTAGTTGAACACAATTTATCATTATAAAGAAACGTTCAATTTGTGAGGCAATTTTTGATGCGTGACTATGGATGTAAAGGTGGTATTTTACTAATAACGTCATTCAAACAACAACAGGAAAGATCAGTACAAACAATGTATTATCTAGGCTGATTAATTCTGTTCATTGTTTTAAACTGACTGATAATGTCAAAGTAATCATATGAATTCATGTTAATATGTTTGGAAGCTATTTTTTCCGTCTTTATATATAAGTAGTTAATCACACTTTATACGAAAGATTTCCGTATATCTTAGTACAGTGGCCACGGGATGCATTTTTATGATCGTAGAGACAACATCTTGTGATCTTACAGACATCATCTTATGATAGAATAGACAACATTCTATGATAGGCCATGCAAATTCGTGTAATTTAACAGACAACAGTTTGCGATTGGAAAAAACAATATGCTGTGATTTGACAGAGAAGATTTTATGCTCTGACAGACACCATCTTGTGACTGGACAGACAACATATTGTGATCCTACAGACACCATCTTATGACTGAACTAACAACATATTTTTAATCGTACAGACACCTTCTTATGACTGGACAGACAAAATAATGTAATCGTAAAAACACCTTCTTATGACAGGACCGACAACATGCTGTAATCGTACAGACACCACCTTGTAACTGGACAGACAACATATTGTGATCGTACGGACACCATCATATGACTGGACAGACAACTTCTTGTAATCGTACAAACACCTTCTTATGACTGGACAGACAACATACTGTAATCGTACAGACACCATCTCATGACTGGACAGACAACTTCTTGTAATCTTACAGACAGCATCATATGATTGGACAGACAACTTCTTGTAATCTTACAGACAGCATCATATGATTGGACAGACAACTTCTTGTAATCTTACAGACAGCATCATATGATTGGACAGACAACTTCTTGTAATCTTACAGACAGCATCATATGACTGGACAGACAACTTCTTGTAATCTTACAGACAGCATCATATGACTGGACAGACAACTTCTTGTAATCTTACAGACAGCATCATATGACTGGACAGACAACTTCTTGTAATCTTACAGACAGCATCATATGATTGGACAGACAACTTCTTGTAATCCTACAGATACTGTTTTTTTTTTATTGGACAGACAACATCCTGTGACTGGGCATACAACATCTTGTGATTTGACAGACAACATATTGTGATCGTACAGACACCATCTTATGACTGAACTAACAACATATTTTTAATCGTACAGACACCTTCTTATGACTGGACAGACAACATAATGTAATCGTAAAAACACCTTCTTATGACAGGACCGACAACATGTTGTAATCGTACAGACACCACCTTGTAACTGGACAGGCAACATATTGTGATCGTACGGACACCATCATATGACTGGACAGACAACTTCTTGTAATCGTACAGACAGCATCATATGACTGGACAGACAACTTCTTGTAATCTTACAGACAGCATCATATGACTGGACAGACAACTTCTTGTAATCTTACAGACAGCATCATATGATTGGACAGACAACTTCTTGTAATCTTACAGACAGCATCATATGATTGGACAGACAACTTTTTGTAATCCTACAGATACTGTTTTTTTATTGGACAGACAACATCCCGTGATTGGGCATATAACATCTTGTGATTTGACAGACAGCATATTGTGATCGTACAGACAACGTCTTGTGATTAGACAGACTACATCTTGTGATTGTATAGACAACATCGTATGATCAGATAGACAATATCATGTGACAGGTTATACAACTTCTTGTAATTGAACAGATAACATTGTCCCCCGCTGGGACAGCGGTAAATCTTCGGATTCACACCCCTAAAAGCAGGGGTTCGATTTCCCTCGGTGGACACAGCAGATAGACCGATGTGGCTTTGCTATAAGAAAAACGCAGATAACATTTTGCGATCGTAAAGACAATATTGTTACGTCTCCGTTCGTTAGTTAATTTTCCGTAAAAATTCTTTCCGATGAAACTTTAGCGACACAAGTCCTTTCCTAAATAAAACTGGTTTGTTCTTTCTGAATACAACTTTGCAATACACTTAATTTCCACAGTCACGCTATAACAAACGCTTGAATTCACAGCGAACGTCTCACGTGCTCAACAATACTTCTCTCTCTGTCCGCAGTTCAATTACCCATTGTTGCCGTCACGTCTTGACTGTCTTATATGTACGAGAATACCGAAATCTAGTAACCTCCCGAGGCTTCAGGAACATTCTAGAAGCGCGTGACGTGTTACTAGCGTCACGTGACCTCCCCTGTCGTAACAATATTTTGTGATCGTACAGACAAATTCTTGTAATTAGACAAACAACTTTTTGTGATCAGACAGACAACATTTTGTGATCGTACACAGAGCTTTTGTAATCATATAGACAACTTCTCGTGATTGTACAGACATTTTATGATTTTAACAGAGAACATCATTATGATCAGACAGATATCATACATTATTGTGTGAAATACGTACTAATATGAAATATTAGACATGTTTTGCGAGGACTTGATGATCATACAAAAAATAATCATTCACTGTTCCAAGTTATCTGCATATTTACATGTAATCGTGATGATATATTGTTAAAAAGGGCCATGAGAATGCCTTAAAATCTTAGTTAAAACGTTTTTTTTTTATTGGGACTTTCCTAACATTCTGGGGGTAATAGAAAATAAAGAGGTCAAATAATAATTTAGTAGCATTCACAGCGAAGCAAATAAACAACTTTTATAGTATGACGAGTTTATGTACTGATGTGCTTCACGAACGCGGCGGGACATTCCCTTGAACCGGTAGAGGGGGGGATGTATATGGGATCCTTTCAAGGTAACAGCCACCTTCATACTTACAAGCTAGTGAAAGCCGGTATGATAAACCTGTTTTTTTTACAAAGATTTTATCGACGGCGGAAGAACCCAACGATATATAAAATAATGAAACCTCTCTCTTTTGGTCTTTCTGCTTATGTTTGTGTTATATAACTTTTGTATTCGTTCATGTTCCGAAAGTATAAGAAACTCCGCAACGGAACCGCTTTTTATTCTTCTACAGGGTCTGAGCACCAAGAGTGCGCTAATTTTGTTACCATTTCATAAGCAAATCTTGATTCCTGATTTGAGGCATTTCTGGTTAGCCGTCGTAAGTAATCGAGGTATGTAATTCATTTATATATATATATTTTTTAGATTTCCAGACTCCTATACTAAAATTAAAGCTAACAAGAAACCCCAGAATTTGATAAAGTACTTCTTGTTTCTTTGAGAGTAAAGCCACATTAGGCTATCTGCTGTGTCCACCACATGGAATCGAACCCCGGATTTTAGACTTGTAAGTCCGTAAACTTACTGCTTCGTTTGGGATTTTTTGTAATAACATGTTGCAGGTGAAAACTATAATTCGCTCTTGAACGGGATTTTAGTGAAGCGTTTTTAATTAATTGCTGCTTGACCACTCACTCTTAACAAAAGACGTTTTTTTTCAGTTACTCTTTGCTTGAGTCCATGGAGTGACCTTTGACACGAAAATGTTTTAATTATTTGTAGAAATCATCCATTGTTTTTGACTAAATATATAAATTTCAAAACCTTATAAGAATTTGAACAGTGAACATACTCACACTCATAAAATTTTTGAACGTTTTAAGGTCGTTTCAGAATTTAAAATTATAAAGTTCATTGTTTATTTTTAAAACTCCACCTCCAAGACACTAAAGTATATATGTTTGCACACGTGTCTGGAAAGCAACGTTAAGGATTAACGGATAATGTGTAAATACACACTGAACAACGCCATGTGTTTGTCGCTCATTTAGATTATCTTACATCTTGGAGAGAAACCGGTCACGGTGTTTTCAGTTAAAATAGCGTAGAATTGGTAAGGTATTGCACTACCAACTCGAGAATTTGAAGCGAGAAATATGATATGAAACAGGTTATATTTCTGTGGAATTTCTTCCCAGAAAATAGCTAAAAATCTTGAGCGTAGAGATTTCAAAAGCTTTTGTTATGAAACACCATGTACACACATTTAAAAAATAACAAACAACAAAAATAATTTCATAAAGAAAGCGTTATTAGCTTATCACTCTTACTGAACTGGTTTTCGGAATACACGCTCAAACTCCGCCCACTAATAGCGTCACCATAGCGACTGACTTGCTTTTCTCTTAAAACCTTCGACCCTCAAAACTGTACCTAGTGGAGTGTGCCAGGTTCTTGTTCGTAGTTACTGTTGTTTGAGATGAAGTGCACACGTGTCTAGTCTGCAGGTACAGGTGTGTACCATCGAGACAGTCAACAGAACAGAAATGAAGCACAGCTATTAAGGGCTTGTAAGTTTTATTTCCTGTGTTAATAAGTAGTGTTATTTGAGTTGTAAGTTCTCATGAAGGTTTTTAACTTAAAGGTACACCTGTTCCACGTCAAAACTGCTTTAGCTTTATATATAGATGTGTATTTATTGATAATCACTTAGGAAGAGTTCTTATCATTAGAAATTTAAATTACATTTTAATTTCGACGCACGTTCTACAGTGTAGATTCTATAAACGAAATAATGATTTTAAAAACTGGTTATAAATAAACTACATATTATTATCTAATGATTATAGGTACAAGATAAAAATTACTAGTCTGTGGATGCTTCATAGCACCTGTGACAATAGATAAAGCTATGAAATAATAATAATACGTATTTCAATTCTGCACAACGTCTAAAGAAGGTGTACGATACAAATACGTTTTAGAATGACTTATCGTGAAATTAAAAAACAAAAAAGTTGAAAGCGTCATATATGTTAGTTCGTTTATAACGATCCAACCAAGAAAATAGGAACCCTCCGAAACTTTAAAATAAGGGCGTGTAATAATTACTTTCCGACTTTACGTGGAATAAAATAAATATTTCTCAGGGAAGAGTGAGTTCTTATCACTTAACATCCCCTCCTCCCGACTACGAATGGGATTGTCTCGGGGAAGAGTGAGTTCTTATCACTTAACATTCCCTCCTTCCGACTACGAATGGGATTGTCTCGGGGAAGAGTGAGTTCTTATCACTTAACATTCCCTCCTTCCGACTACGAATGGGATTGTTCTTATCATTTAACATTCCATCCTCCCGACCATGAATGGGATTGTCTCAGGGAAGAGTGAGTTCTTATCACTTAACATCCCCTCCTCCCGACTACGAATGGGATTGTTCTTATCAGTTAACATTCCCTCCTCCCCACTACGAATGGGATTAAAGAGTACTTTAATTATTAATGCTATAGTATGGAACCTACAAATACACAAACATACAATAAACTGATTCTCCACCTGGGACATATCCGAGAGTTCTGAAAGTTTCTTCTACTCTAGTGACATAGTAACAAGTGTATATATACCAGTGGCCTATATATGGAAATTATTAATCTTACTTTCTCTATACAATTCATGAAATTTGGAAATGCTCTTTTCCTCAACGAACATTTCACTGTGTAAATTAGTGGTAAAGTATATTAAGATTACCATGTTTTGTAAATAGTTTTAAGCTGATAAAATGTCGTAGTTGATTCTGGAACACAGACAGCTGGATGCGAATAAACGTTATATTGTTAACATAGACACAAAATGTATCTTTAAACGCATAAATTGCAATTAAATTCTTATTATTCTGATTCACTACACGCCTACTTACTCGGAATTGATATAAAAGTTGTTTTTTTTTAATTAAAGAACGAAGTTCAGTGTAGTTACAAGAACAGGAATACTTTATGTGTTACGGTTTTCTCTAACGTAATTAAAGTGCACGCTATCTTATAGTTACACATGCATAAGAAAGTTGATATTCTAACGTTCTAATAATTATATAATAATTTCAAAATAAAATATACAATTAACATTTTATATATCCTTGTTTCTAGACAGCACTGACGTCATAGAATAGCTTAGTTTATTAACTTCTACTCTTTTTACGGTTGAACAGGTATATTTTTATCTATAGATGGAAGCAAAGGCCTGAACAATAGTAATTTTAAAACTTTTACATTTGTCCTCAAACATCAAGCATGACAGAAAAGGAACGACTACGTGTCAATTACCATGTATGACATCATTGACTTGGAACACACCTTGATTACTATGTGTTACGCCATCCATGTGAAACTCCCTTCTTTACATCGTAAGTTACATACATAACCACACGGACAAAAGGACCTACTGGTCCTTCAAGGCTGTTCTTGAACATTCATCTTTGAGAAAAGTAAACACTTAAACTCGCCGAGCTGGTCGAACAGAGTATACCTTTTGCCACGGTGTGGTAGTTCTTATATGGACTTCAGCCTAAAAAGTTATAGCTTTACCACAGTGCTGGCATAGTGATAGTTAGTTTATTTAATATATTTACTTTTATTTATGCCCTCTAGTGGGTCAGCGATACGTTTCCGGTCTTATGATGCTAAAATCCAGGGCTCGATTCTCCGCGGTGTCGAGAGTGCAGATAGTCCATTGCGTAATTTTGCGCTAAAACAACAACTTTTTTATTTATTAATTTTTATTATTCTATATAGTAGTAATTTTGATTATATTAGTTTTTTATTACATAAATTATTTCACATTGTTAGCTTAGTTTATGGATTTAGCACTAACCTAAATCGACTAACTTTTACCACGGTTTGATAGTTACTTGCTTTCGTACGCCTAAACAAATGAAACTTTTACCACAATGTTGGGTAGAATATGTAATAAATTTATCTTTATTTGTAATTATTCACAAGTTAATTCTTTGTTTTTATTATTTTTTATAATGATTGATTTGCATTGTTAGCCTAGTATATAGATTTCTGACTAATCTAAGCCTCATGGACTGGCCGAACTTCGTGAGATGATATTACTGGGTTTATGGCCGAAAATATTGGTAACAGCGACGGTATTCAACTGATGAAACAATGCATCCTAATCATTATAAGTAATATAGCTTAAAAATTTTATTTAATTAGATATGCTGATTACTAGGATATTATTTGTAGTTCTGATTCTCCTCAGTTTAGGTGATTTGCTTTGATCAGGAAGTTAATATTAATTTAAATCCATCCTTTCTATTTTTCGAAGAATCATCGATTCCTCTCTTAAACTGTGTTAACTGGAATCTAGCCTGTATTCTCCAAAACTTGAACACATTTTTCTCTCTCTCTCGTAATGTTTTTAGAATACACACACACAAAAGGGCTTTGTTCTTTCTACTCCCACACCCCAATAAGAGAACCCCTTCTTTCCTCAAAAGAAATCAAGATCTCTTAACATATCCCTATAAAATAACCTTTCCATCCTGAACCCTTTCCAAGATGTTAATATCCTTCTTTACATAAGAAGACCCAAACTGTGCACAATATTCCAAGTGAGGCCTAATTAGTACTTTATGTATAGATATTGTTACGTCTCTGTTCGTTTGTTAATTTTCCGTAAAAATTCTTCCCGAAGAAACTTTAGCGATACAAGTCCTTTCTTAAATAAAACTGGTTTATTCTTTCTCAATACAACTTTGCAATACACTTAATTTCCACAGTCAGTTTAACTTAAACAAACGCTATAATTCACAACGAACGTATTCACGCATTACCGCGCTCGACTCAATTGTCCGTCTCTATCTCTGTCTGCAAATCAATTCCATTGTTGCCGTCACTACTTGGCGGTCTTATATATTATAAAAGTGTACATCTCGTCTCTTCGTGAATCTTCTAGAAACTCATCACGTGACGCTAGTAACACGTCATGAAATTCTAGAAGGATCATGTCTGTTCCTGGCAACTCTAGTCTTTTCTATGTGCCTTCTATTTTTGTATATATAAGCCGGCAAATGAAGTGACGGCATAGATAATTGCAGACAGGCAGAGATAGAGACGGACAAGCGCGGTAGTGACCGTAACTAAAGTGCGTGAATCGTTGTGAATTATAGCGTATGTTTAACTTAAAGTGACTGTGGAAATTAAGTGTATTGCAAAGTTGTATTGAGAAAGAATAAACT